GGGAATAGTTGCTGAGTGCTTACACTAGCAGAAAATTTAAAAGGCTTTAGGGCATGTTTATTTGTCTGGATTGGCCTAGCCTGTGTGAATGAGTAGAGCCAGGGCATTCCTAGATAGTCCAGACCGATGCAACTTCTCTGGTTAGGTAGACTCGTACTCCGTATATGTTAGGGCGCGTTTAGTTCCAAAAATTTTTGGTTTTTGTCTATTACATCGAATTTTTGGACGTATGTATGGAGCATTAAATATAGATGAAAAAAAAACTAATTACATAGTTGGGTGAGAAATCGCGAGACGAAACTTTTGAACCTAATTAGTCTATAATTAGACACTAATTGTCAAATACAAACGAAAGTGCTACAGTAGCCAAACCCAAAAATTTTCGCGAACTAAGGGGGTGTTTGGGACTGCTCCACAAACTCTGCTCCACAAACTCTACTATGGAGCAGCTCCATAAAAAACTGGAGTTTGTGGAGTACCTCTTTAGGTGCTCTCACAACTCCATCATTTTTCCTCGAACAGAGCGTGGAGCACCAATTGGCCGAGCTCTTTGGCTCTAAAAACAAACAGAGCGAGAGAAAACTGCGTGAGCGGAGCAGTCCCAAACACCCCCTAAACGTGCCCTTAGACCTAGCTTTGTGCAGGTGCTATTTGTTTGCTTAGAAGTGTTGTGGGCCCAACATCCCAGCCACCCCCCGCCCATGCAGTTATTACCCAGAGAACCCCGGAGCGAGTCTCGCCTACATTTCGTTCACATGCGGCCAGGCTCCACAATGTTTTAAGCACCATATTGGCCGAGCTCTTGTGGGCGTCTAGGCAAACAAACAGCCTCCTGCTGCCTGGGAGCCTGGCCGAGCCCCATGTCTAACCAAACAAACAACCCCTCGGCGTCTTACCTACAGCCATTAGTATTGGTCCTATTTGAGGAGCTGTAGCTTTTTCAAAAGCATCTCCTGAAAAAGTTTCGTGAGAAAGCGCATGAAGCTGCTTTTGGGGTAACATCTCTGCTTTTTTAGTATAAAGTGCAGTTTTTAAAGTTTATGCTCCATCCGGCATGCTGCGTTCGTTTATGCTCCATTGGTCGCTTCCATGCATGATGCATCGGCAGACGGCAGGCACTGGCACACCTCAGTGCCCACAGACCACTGGCCATTGGCCACTGCGCAGTGCGCACTGCCCAGCCACCGAGCCCTCGTGATGTCCTTCCTGAATACTAGTAGTATAGAGTGAATATGAATAGTACTACTCATCGACCTCGAGGAATCCTGCAGTCTTGCCCGAAAAAATGCACGGTCAGCAGGCCAGGGCTATGTCGAAAATGGCAGATTTCGACCTCTGAGGCTGTGACGGACTGGGGACTAAAATTTCTTCAGTGACGAGAACACTGCGCTTGGACCAGCAGCTCATAAACTCAACTCAGCCATACCATGACTTCATAAAATCTTGAACGGATCGACAAGTGTAGGGTGTGGCTCCCGGCCTGAGAGGAAGCGCCGGCGGCCGGCGCTCTCTCCTCGCCGCCCGAACGCCATGCGCGCGGCTCGTCGCCCTTCTCGACAGCCAACTTCATGCGGCGGGGCGGGCAGATTTGGTGCAGTATTTTCCTTGCACCCCATCCAGCCCCAGCCCAGCAACGCGTGAAGATATCCGTTGGTGGGCCGGCATCATGGGAAGAGCTGGGCCGTACATTGTAGAGGCCCGCTTGGAAAATGTTCATTCAGGCTCTCTCAGCTTTTGCCAAAATCCGATTTGCCTCTGCACATCGAAAAACCGTCTTTCACTACTTCAGAAAAAAAAAAAGGTGACAGCCTACCAACACAAATAAACCATTAACACTGATCATTTCGCAGAGAGACGCCGCTGAAACGGAAAACAACATCCTCTAAAAATAGTTTCGGTAGTAATACTTTTACATCCTCAAACATATAAAACCATCCAATTGCTCCCTGTACTCTTTTGATAACGGTTTTGTCCGACATGGCACCAATCAACCATCTCATATGGCTCCACGTTAGCTGTAAGGAAGTACCTCAGACTGTATTGATAGCTCAAAAGGTTAAAACAGTCTTTACCATAAAAGGTTAAACAAAATATTTTTCAAAAACACCATCCAAATATTTTTTTCTAAAAAGGTTATGCAATTAAAAATCCTAAAATCTTATTTAATCTTGGAAAATTATAGAATACTAAATATATGCCCGTGCGTTGCACCGGGATCATAATTTTTTACTAAACCTCACGCGGACGTTTGAGCTCCGTGTACACGTGGATTTATATATATACGATCATTATTATTTACTTTTGTACATCGGGCTTGTTAAGTCTCTCGATGGTGTGCAACAATTCAAATCTGATTTTCAATATGGGTTCCATGTAGCACTCTAGTCTCTTAAATAATAGATTAGCTTCACAGTGATTTGCAATTTTTTTTGGCGCAACTTGATGATGTGTCTTTTGGTTTGTATAACATCAGGTTTGCGTATGTACCATGTGCAGCTATCAAGGTTTAAACTCTAGACTGCCAATTAAACCAAACTTGATATGTCCCCTTTGGAGAGTCTCCAAATCGGTGTATAGTAACATGATCTGCTGTGACGTTCACAAGGTAACGTCCACAATATTATGGCTTATGGGTTCGTTTGGTAGAGGTTTAGCTATGGCAAAAACAGCTCCAGGTGTAGCTTGTATGGTGGAGGAGATTCTTTGACGTAGCTGAGTTGTTTGAAAAAAAAAACATTTGTTAAACAGCTTTGACTATCTCGTGAGAAGAGTGAAATGTCTAAGGTAAGCTTTTTATTTATTTTTCTTTGTTTATTTCTTTCTTTCCTTTTTTCTCTCTCTCTACCTTATCCCTAACTCCCCACCGCAGGGGACTTGCGTCGCAGACGACATCTTGTATTCTTCTCCACGCACGCTCCTTCAGCCTTTGACTTTCTTCGTTCCTCACGTTTGCGTCCCGAAGCCCGGCGTCATTGAAGGCTCCAAGCTCTGCGCGCCGGCTTCCAGCGACCGCGCACGTCTGCGTCCGATCCTTTTTAGGCCCCCTTTTTTTGTTTTTTACCATGATTTGGTTCTGCGGAGTCCTTTCCTTTTTAGGTGTGAGAGTTTTTTTTTAACGGAGTCCGATCGTTTGGGATTTCGTTCTGCTGTGTGGACGATTCCCTTAAGGGCTTTTTAGGTGTAGAGATTTGCTTTAGCTCAGAAAAATATTAAAACCAGTTTTAGATTTAAGTCGTTCTCTATATTGTGGTTCCAAGCTTGAATATTTGAATATTATATGATCTCCTTTTGGTGCTTATTTGTTAGTATAGTTGCTCTTGTTATCTTCTATAGTTAGTCTATATATTGGCAACCTAGATTAACGTGTTTTCCTTGTGTTTTACTTGTGAAATTTTTAATTAGGCTATTCAATCCACCTCTAACTATCCAAAGATCCCTTTTAAAACCCTTCTCTGATGCCCTGGTTTTGAGAACCAAAACCAAAAGACCTTCATGCATGCCTTGTTAGGTGTGACTAACCGATGTTGATGCGTGTCCGACCTCCGTCAAGTTCTGAAGCCTTCGCCTTCCTTCTTGACTTGACACACGCCATCTCCATCATCAGTGTCATCTTCATCATCCATGTACTCTAGCGATGTAGATGTGTGTCCGGCCTCCTTCAAGTGCCATGACACCATCGTCCTCCTCCTTGGTCCATGCCGTATTCATCACCCATGCATTCTTGCTTTTCATGTGCCCAATTTGACCAGCACACGGTATGTTCTCTGGCCTATGGTCCCTCGGTCTAAGCCTTCTCGTTTGCTCTTCACTGCTCCTAGTCCATCGTGCACAGATCCGCTTGACCTTCTCCATCACCGTTGAGCATCTTGGCACACCCAACACCAGTGCACACTCTAAAGCCAAGAGACATGTTGCACAACACACTCAACGCAACACAACACGACACCTCCAATTAGCCATTAGCATAATCAAGCATATACCAATTATGAACTAAACCGGGAAAGCCTAAAACATCTGTCAATCATTCATCACAGACACTTCTCAATTTTGGTCTCTCGGGCCGATCGCAGGCCACCGATGAAGTGGATGTAGGGCGAGGGTGGCAGAGGAATATGAGAAAATCTCGGTAAAATTAATGGTTGTTATGGGGCAACCGTGGTCATATGTTGTGGATTCATAACATGTTTCTATATGTAGACATCCAACGTAATATCTATACAAATTTAGAAAAAACAGTTGAAAAAAAGAACTATTGCATAAACTTAGGAGGATTACGGCTCCTTTTAGGGGTGCTGTAAGGCTATCTCCAACAGCAGGGACCTAAATAGAAGACGCATTTGATAATTTGGGTCACGCTGTGGCAAAGGGTCACAGAACTAAATGTTGTTGTTTCCAACAGCCAACCCAAAAGTCACGGCAACAGCATTTTGGGGGGCGTGCCGGAGCCAAACGTAGCATGCGTCGCGACGCAGATTTGCGTTCTCCATCGCGTCCCACCCAAAATGGATCCGTCGTTTGCGTCATGGGCCGTGTTTTTTTTCCGATAAAACGATGTGTAGTAGGTATTTTGGGTTTGGGTGCCGTGATGCATCGGCTGTTGGAGACAGTGTAAAGAATGAGCAGATGTATGCCGTTGGGTCATTGCCAAAAGATGGATCCAAGAATGCGATTGTTGAGAGGACAGACCCTATTCTTTATCGACTGTACTTTTGTGCTTCAATCACCTTAAAGACTGAGGTCGGCTGATACGTTACAGTACACACCAAGACACCAAGACTGAGGCCTGCTGATCGTTGAGACCGGTTATTATTCGATTATTTTGCACACGAGTAGCAGCATCACGAGCAGATTAAAGCGCATCTGATTACCTAGCTAGGTAGTATATTAAGATATAGATCAACAAACGGACGTTGATTAATTGTTGATCCACTGATTGAGCGTATATATATCCAACGCGTAGCTTAGGCAACCGGAGCTTATTAGCTTGCATTGCTCGGCGCTCATCTCGTCCTGCTGCAGGACGTGGAGCAGCGGCGCAGCGCGGCGCGGAGGCAGCCTTCGTCCTGCAGCGCGGCGGGCACGTCCTGCACCGTGGCTGAGCCTCCCACGCGACTCACGCACGCATTCTGCACGGGCAGGTCCAGCGACCGCAGCGCGCCCATGAGGAGCGCGGGGGCGTGGCGTGTCGAGGCCGTCGTCAGGCGCACCGCCGCCCCATGGCGCCCGACCATCCGCACCTCCAGCTTCTCCTCGAACCCCCCAGAGGCTGGGCACATGGCGGGGTTGCCGCCCAGCTTCCTCGCCGCGACCTGCTGCTTGGCCTCGGCCTCCAGCTGCTCCACGCGACCGCGCAGCTCGGCGATGTAGGCGGCGGCGTCGGCGAGCAGGGACGCCTTGTCCATCCGGGACACCGTGGCCACCGCGGCCCGGAGGTCGCAGAACCGGCGGTTGAGCTTCTCCCGCCGCTGCCGCTCGGCCTCCACATGGCTGATTCCGGGGTTGTCGGACCGGGGCCCGGGCTTCCTGCCCCGCCTCCTCGCCGTGCGGTCGGACAGGCCGACCACCGCAGCCGCCGGGTTGCTGGACAGGTCGGAGCCCGCCGTCATGCGAGCCTCCGGCCAACCACTCAGAGCCATCGTGCATGGGCTTATCGAGTGCTTCTTCGCCCAGTAGCCATTGCTCGGGTACCCCGCAGGACACGAACTCGAGGACTGACTGGTGGCCTGCCGCGGAAAAAAAGGACGGCGGGGAGCCAGGGGAGCAGAAGGACGCCTGGGAGACGAGCTCATTCATGGCACCCTGACCCTGCTGCATTTGTTGTGATTTTTCGTATAGCAGCATGCAGAAATAGCAGCTTCAACTATAAGTCTATAACCCTTGCCTTGTGTCCTTGAGGTGGTAGCACTCGTAGTAGGACTAGCCCATTTATAGCCAATGATACATTTGCAAATAAGCACCTCTGGTAGCTTCATATCACTTTATTTTCAACAGATTACAAAAAAACCTCCCTAAAATTTTAAGGTGTGAACGCAGATTTTAATTGGAGGGTTTGCCTTTTGAGTTTTGACATGGGGCCCTCATGTTGATCATGACATAAATTGATGTAGAGTATCACTTTGAATCATTTAAAAAAACAGTCGGTTTTGTTAAAATTTAAGACGTGGATGCGAGCTTTTAGTTCGAGGGTCTAGCTTCTAATGTGGCAGTCAGTTTTGTTAAAATTTTAAGACGTGGATGCGAGCTTTTAGTTCGAGGGTCTAGCTTCTAATGTGGGTCCACATGTAGATCTTGTTATGCTAATTAGCATTAGACCTGAGCATCTTGTGGGTCGAGTCGGATCGGACCGGCACAATAGTTGATTGAGTTCAGGTCTAAAATTTATGCCCAATAGTGTCCGACGGACCACTTTGCGCTGGGATCGGGTTGGACCCGAGCCTGGGCGAGCCACCTGCTATATATGCTCGCGTGTGTACGGGCTTAACCATCGTGTACTAATTTCTCTGACGTCGTGCTTTGTGCAGTAAGACAGCACACTAATTTCTAAGTCAACACACTGTTAAAAGTCCAATACATGTGTGCGTTATACTGTGTCGTGGATTCATTTTTGCGAGGGCGGCAACTGTTTAGATATGCAATGAATTGCAAAAGTGGAGCAACAAACTGTTTATACTAAATATGCAATGAATTGCAAAAGCCGTGGAATATAGTGCTCGTTTAATATATTATATATTATAAGTTGCTTATAAGGTTAAAACAATCTGAAACTAGAACACAAACGTCATGTTTTCTATAGTGTTTTCTAGCCGTGCTTCTTCCAACCACCATCATTAAAACTAAAGCCCCAATTTGGTAAAGCTAAGCTTTATTAGTAATGCTTTTTTTTTGCGCTTCAACTTCACAAACAGCTTACTCGGTGAAGCTAAGCTATTTTTTTAAAGACCCATTTGGCAAAACAGCTTCACATGGTACACAAAAAATAAAAATTACTATAATGCCCTTTCTCTTTCTTCTTCAACCATGCGCCTTTTCTTCCCCGTCTCCTCCCTGCACTTCCGGTGGAAGTCGAGCCTGCACCTCCCGGTGGCACTTCCTGTGTACTCCAGATGGGATCACATAATCAAGAGTTACCTCGGCCTAACGAAAGAACTGGCACTTCCGTGTCCATCAGCAGCAAGTATGGCAGAGCCTTTGGAGTGGCACAGTTGGGCCTCCCTGCTCCGAGGCTGGTCCGCCCCACACACCAGCCTCTTCGCCTCACCCCTATGCCAGCCTCCCTGTCCCGTCTCGCTACCAGCCTACACCGACGCTGGCCTCCCACCCTCCCTACCCTGTCTCTTTGCCGGCCCGCCCCGTCGCCACCTCTCCATCCCCTTCCATATGACACATGGCAATGAAGAGTAGGAAGAAAGGAAGAAAAGATGATGCCATGTGCCATTTTAATGCTCGCTAATAGAACCAAAAAGTGATTTGCCCTCTCTTTTCCCTCCCTCGTGCCAAACACAAAACAAAGATGACCCCAACCCGCAACCAAACATGAAGATGGGATCACCCATACAAAAAAACTAGGACAGCACCATCGTGTCCTACCTTGTCCCTAAACCAATATGGATCTCCTAAACTGAAGTCCTCCGCTTTCACACAGTGTCACCGGCACGGTGTGCTGTCAAGGAGCGCCTCGGTGCCTCACTCCTATTGCCAGAGGTGCCTCACTCCTGCGGCTAGAGATGCCTCTCCTTTAGGATACCAGTTGAGCCAAGCGGGGGATGTGTCCATGGGATGCGTGGGAAGAGAGGACATGGGAGGAGGGTTCTGACTGGTGAACCTAATTTAAGGCCATGTTTGGCTCCCCGTAGATAGTAGCTATCTGCTAATAACTATCTCTTTATGATCTAAACAAGTATAGATAATAGACTAGCTAATTATTAGCTAGACTCTCTATATAACAACTATCTCATTAGTTGGACCAAATCAGATAATAGCAGGTAATAGGTGGACCAACAACCCAACCTTAGCAATTAGCCGTGTATCCAAATGTCCTCCCCGATAATAGGTAGGTAGTCAATAGTTAGCTAACTAATACTAGCTATCTACTGTATTAGCTAGCTAACTAGTATCAGCTATGGATCCAAAGAGGTAAGTCAACGCTGACTGGGCAAGTCGATATAACATGGCGATCAAAACCAACATCAAAAGGCCTGATGTGGTTGCTAAGTGTTCTTTTATATCGTTAAATGGTTAAAAATTTCTGATATTCGATTTTAGCGTGGCTAAAATAAGACCGCCGATAATTCAATGGCCAAAAATGAACTTCTCTAAAACGAAAAGTAGCTTTTACACACATCGCATTCCCAAGCAAACGTACAAAAGTAGCTCCTAGGAGCAAGTTGTAACTGAAACGAAAGGTAACAGTGGTGGCGCAATCTAGAGTAGAGTCCCGTACCCGACCGATTGGACAAACAGCGTAACGGAAATAAAGCTGCAGGTGAATATCGGTCGCATTCCATGGGTCGTACAACCAGCGATTCTTATCTCAAAAGGGCAGGTCTGGGTCGACGTCGACCGATTAGATCCATCTCCAGCTACACCTTGCCTGCCCATAGGCACTCGAGCTGGGAGACGACGTCGCCGCCATTGCGGCCGTCGCTCTTGCTCTTGGGTGGCGGAGACGAGGCGCCGACGCCGACGTGATGCTGCCGCAGGATGAGGTCACGGAGGTGCGGCGGCGGGCTCCCACCGCCGCAGCCGCGTGACGCTGATGCACGGGCCGTAGGACATGTCCATGTCGAACTGCCGGAGCTCCTCCTCCTCCTCGGTGGTGTACCCGCCGGAATCTGAACATATATATACGTGCATGTATGATATTGATAATAGATACTAGGCACTACGTGTATAAGACAACGACGAGAAGGCGACGGCGCGCGGCGGCCGCATCGTACATACCGGCGTCGCCTTGGCACTGTTGCCTCGATTTCCCCTTCTTCGATTTCTGTTTGAGCGTCGACTTGCTGCCTTTCTTCCTCTCCGGATAGATACCCTTCAGTCGACCGCGTGTGGGCGCCATCTGAGCACGTGACCCGGACATAGCTTGATTCTCGTTGCATATATATCCCGTGTCGTGGGCAATGTTGCTGTTGTCTCGAGTCTCGATCTGCTCCGTTCCGCCTCTTCAAGAAGAAATAGAGTCCGTACACTCGCCGACGGTGCCCTTATACACGGCAGTAATTGGTGACCAGAGAAGGCGCCGGATGTCGGACGGACGATGCGTTCGGACGCACCTCCCGCGCCCTGCCGAAAATTAGGAAATGAGCACCGTCCACGTCCATCCCGCGACAACGCGCCCCGCCTGCATCCATCCACGGCCCGTCCGGACACAGTACTGCCGCCCGCATCGCACCACGCCCTCACCCCGCGTCCCATCCCGCTCCAGCGCTGCCAAACTCCGCGTCCCGGTCGAGCTCGAACTACCGCGGTGAGATGGAGGGGAGGGAAGGGAGGTGAGGGAGAGACGAGAGGGCAAGGCGCACCGCGCGAGGTAGAAGCCCAAGCCCTGCAGAGGACACTGTCCGCCAGCCACAGGCACCATTGTAACATGTGCAACATCCAATCTACTTTTTAAAACATCCAGATGAAACATTTGCAACATACGTTTGAAGACATATGAAACACTTGAAACATACGTCTAAAACATTTGCAAAAACATCTAAAAACATTTGAAAAGCCATTGCAAAACATATGTAATATCCTGATAAATCACTTGCAACATATGTGTGAAACATATGCAACATCCAAATAAACACACTTGCAACATGCGTTAGAAAAAAAAACAGATGAAATATTTGGAACATACGCTTGCAACATACGTGTATAGCCATTGCAACATATGCAATATCCCGATCTATTTTTGCAACATCCATACAAAACACTTGCAACATACCTCTGAAACATCTAAAACACTTGAAACACACGCTTACAACATGCGCTTTTATTATAACATCTCCTTGCTTCTTGTGAGAATGAAGGCTCGTCGACAAGAGGAGTTCACCGGAGGCAGCGGCACCGGTGGCGCTTGTAGGCGGCGGGGCGACAGTGGCGACTGCACGACACTGCAGGGAGGCAGCGGCCACACGACTGAGAGAGGGCAGTCGAGCGCCGCGACGCGGAGGCGGCCGAGCGTTGCGCCTCGGAGGTGCTGGCGGAGGCGACAACACAGAGACGAAGCGGCACAACGAGCGACTCCTTGCGGCTGAGAATGAGCGAGTGAATCGGTGTGTGGATCTGTGTAGAGAACACCAAGCGGCAAGCACCATTTAGATCTGGCGACGAGTTAATGCGTCCGATGAAAAGCAGCATCCGTACGCCCTATCCTAGCGATAAGAGTATATCTCTACATCTAAAAAGACTCGAACGCCGTCATTTATCCGGTAATACCAAATCTTGATCCCCGCTCACCGGTCTTCATCCGATGCAAATAAAACTCCACTCGAAGCTCACACATCAGCGTCCAACCCGGTTCCAATACGTAGACTGGATTCACATGCTCGCATCCAATACAAAATTCCCGGAGCTCACGTGTCCGATTGCTGATCAAAAAATATTATGACCCTAGTGCAACGCACGGCCATGTATGGTATCTCTAAAATCTTATTATTGGGATTAATTACTTTTGCAAAACGATGAATTAATAAAGGAAGTCATCACCGCAGCAACTCCTCTTACAGTCTTACCATGTACGGCCCGACAAATGGGCTTGCGGCCCAACTCGATGCGTGCAATATCGTATTAGCGTTTATCGCATGAACACCAGCCCGCATTCATCAAAAGCCTCTAAATGGTACATCGGCTCCAAATCATAGTTTATGTAACTTTGTTCTAAGTTGATCTTCTCTAACTTTAACGAAATTTTTAGAAAAAATATATTAGCATATATACAAGTTCAAATAATTGTGCTTAACGGTTCACAGATGGTATGCCGTCTGTCAATGCTGTAAACAGTATGTTGTCTTTTGGCTATGGTTAAAAGACGGGGCTCGGCCCTAAAATTCTAAAATAAAAAGAGTTCAAATAATTGTATTATCAAGACCACTCATGAAAACTTAGTGAAATTAATTTCATATTCTAGATATATGTTGATGGATTTTCTATATGAACTTGGTAAAAAAAATTCGGAGAAAATTGAATTAGAACAAAACTAAAGTGAACTATTGTTTCAGATGGAGGAAGTAGTAAGCATTAATCGCTGATATTATTTAAAAGTTGAATTTGAGTAGTCCTTCAAAGAATTCAACTTGTGTTGTGTGTATTGGATGATAGCTGAAGAACTAAACATTGTTTTATTAAAAAAACAGCAAATATGGGCTTTACTGTTAGTCCAACACAATACTCGTAGAGAAGTTCTTCACAAACCAAAGGAACATGTATGGCGGCTCACTTGATTTTTTTTTCAGGATTCAGATCATGCAGTACATAAAAGCATAGCAAGACCAAGATGCATTCCAAGCAGCTAGCCAGCAACTACATATGGCCGCAAAGTATAAGTCAACCATTCGCCATATTTTTTTCAGATAATAATTCCTCATACCGAATTACGGAGTGACATTTACCATCTACGGAGTACTTGATCTCTCATAATAGGCAATTTCAACAGCACAGGATATCATCGGCAATTCCGTTTGTGTCCCGTATCCTAACATAGACAACAATACCCAGGACTAATCAGCACCTGGCCCTGGGCCGGAGAAAAGTGGAACAATTGTTATTCAGAATTTTATGAGATATACACCATCGCCTTATTTACAGAACCAGTGAAATATAGCACAAAGTACATGCATCATGTCCAAGAAAAACGAGGTCTCCGTTCTTTGGCCCCTACCTGGCTACCTGCACCTTCCTTAAGCTCATCTCTCATCAACTAGGTCAACAAATATAACTACATTTTGAACATGTTCGCGCCTATATACAAAGTTTGTATTGATATATGTAGAGAAAGCTCAAGATATCTCAAGAGAGAAAAATGTATTTCTTCAGCATCTCTTGCTTCTTGATCCCAACAGGACCACTAACCCTCTTGCTGTCACTAGCATTGGTTCTTGCAAGACGATAGCCATGCTGACAATCTCTGGCAGTGAGCACAGTTTCTATAGCTTCAAGTACAGGAACGTTTTCTTTTGTTAACTAAGCAAATTGGTGAACACCTTTTCGCCTCAACAATAGCAGGATATAGAGAATTCAAAGCAAACAATGAATGCATGGCAAGACAAGTCTTTTTGTCAGTACTAAAAAAACTCTGACCCAGTAGAAATTTCCTCGAACTATAGGATCATGAGAAGGCCCCAAAAGCTGGCTTCCCAGGACGCGCTGCAGACAGGTTCATGACAAGATGCCATTTTTTTGTCAGTAATAACATGTCAGACTATCTTCTCAGGCTTCAGAGATGATCTAACTGCTGATCTGATCACAACTGAGGCCGCAAGGATGTTATCTGATGCTAAAACAAAATAGCATTTGGAGTTGTCCATAAGACAAGGCACCAACTCAGGGGGTGGTAGTTGTTCCCTTGCAAAGGCTTTTGAGGAGTATTCATCGGTTAAACACAACAAAAGGCAATAAAGGCATTGAGGAATAGCCATTGCAGCATAGTGTTTGTTTAGCTGCTCTGATAACCTTGATGGTCTCAATTCCTTATCCATGCTCTCCATCTGCATGGTATAATGTAGAAAATGAGTACAAGAACTGCAACTTGCTGACAAGAGAGAAGCATAGAAAGTTGTATAGATGACATCATGACACACTAGCTGATATCAAGCTTTAGGTTGGTGATCACTCAGACTAGGTGAATTAGCTTTGTGGGACATTGTGTATTTCTAAACCATACTGATCTGATGTACAATAACTTGAGATTCAGATCGAGCTACTCAGCTAGATGGAGGCAAGTAATCATTCTTTACTGTAAATTTGAGTCCTAAAATGTGGCATCCTCATTACGTCATTCAATCAAGTTATGAACCTTCAGATCTGAAAATACTTATGAGTTGGCTCAATTAGATACATTTCAGTTGAAAGGGTGTAAGTTTGTGAAACATTGAAACTGTATGCATTGTTATATGAAAAGACATCCTTTCATATAAAACACGCTCTTAGACTACACTTTGGACAATATAAAAGTGAATGCAGATCTTTTCATTAGTGTTGATAGTACAAGAAAACATTGATAAATAATCTCAAAGGAAAGCATGGGTGATAGCATAATTGAATGTCAAATTAAAAGGACATTCAATTTCTATGAGAATCAGGTTTATACATCACCAAACAACATTAACTAAGAACTGACATAAACTAAAAGTTTACTGCCAAAAGTAAGTGCCGGCATGGATAGTTTACTCTCAACATTTAAATGAATTAGGGAAAGAAAGAAGTTAGCTTACCATAGCATTTGGTTTAAAAGCATACCTTAAATTATAATCAGTATTCTTCATATCCCAGATAATTCATAAAAAGATTCTGGAATCTTCAAATTAACAGGAACTTCCTCAGGATGTATTTCATCAAGCATCACATACAAATCCCTAACAAGTTTCTGCATGTTATAATACAAAGTTCAAATAAATAAAGCAAAACCTAAAAATGGAAGAAAAAGATTAAAGGACATATAAGTACCTTGGAACTATTGTTTCCCCTGCCAAGAAGGCTCCGACCAAATCTTCTTCCTACACAATCTGATAATAGCAGATGGCAAACAGTAACAGGTTATTGAGCAGACATAGTATACAATGACATTTTATAAAGAGAATTGAGGAATGAATAAAATGCTTGTTGCAACAAATAGCCAAATAATGAGAACCCACCCCATGCTGAGTTGCATATTGCCTCAAACCAGCAGCAGTAATAGACACTTCTTTCGTTTTAAGACTTTATATTTTCATTTAAGTATATAACTGAAATTCTGCACGTCAAGGTGTACCAATCTCACCACTGTTGAGGCTTACCATAAGCAAGCACAGCCGGTTCCACTGGTCACATGATGGATGGCTGCTTTGTTTATGGTTGCATCGCATCAGAATTCAGAACCTGGAGGAGAGCATAAGTCTCTGAGATCTGCCGCGGGAATTTCCACCATTTCTTTTTGTCGTATAATCACAAGCATGCCCATATCACTCACTGAACGAGCAGTTCATGGCCAACCGGAACACAGCCAGCACACTTAACATGCGAACTCAGCCTATCAATCATATCAGATATCTGGTCGGACTCTGGGTGCTTTCTGTCCCCAACTGTGAACTCGTGGAACGCCTCATCAAGTTCTATCCAGCTTGAGCCAGCTGTTTTCTGAGACCCTGTTCCTTTCATCTGCACCCTTGCCTTCGCCATATCGCTCCACTTCCCAGCCTCTGCATAGATGTTCGACAAGACAGCGTAGTTCCCTGCATTTGAGGGCTGCAAGTTGCTCAGCTCGTTCACTGCCAGTTCTGCATACTCCATGTTCTTGTGCAATCGGCATGCACTGAGCAAGGACCCCTAACCTCATTAGGCTCCCAAGGCATGCTTTTGATCATGTCGACAGCCTCCTTAATGAGCCCTCCACGGCCAAGAAGATCAACCATACAACCATAATGCTCTATCTCAGGCTTAATGCCATAGTCTGTCTCCATGTTGGCAAAGAACCTCCGTCCTTCTTCCACAAGCCCCATGTGCGTGCAAGCCCTGAGAACATTGATGAGCGTCACAGCATCAGGGTGAAAGCCTTGCTGCTTCATTTGTGCGAAGAGGTTCAGCGCCTTTTCACCATGCCCATGCATTGCAAACCCTCCAATTATAATGTTCCATGACACTGAATCCTTTTCAACTATCTCAGTGTCGAAGATGTAGTCGGCTCGGTTAACACATCCACACTTGCAGAACATGTCCTTCAGGGCATTGCATACAAGGGTTGATCTACCCAGCTTCCTCTGGCGCACATGCCGGTGAATCCTCTTCCCAAGGGCAAGGGAGCCAGACTCAGCACATGCAGCCAGGATACTCACAACTGCAACTACGTCAAGCTCAATGGCAGCCTCCTTCATCTCAGTAAACAACCTGCCTGCTACCTCCACAAGCCCCTTCTGAGCACACGCTGAGACCATTATGGTCCATGTCACCAAGTTCTTGGCTGGCATCTTATCGAATATAATCCGCGCCATCTCCATGTCGCCCTTCTTACAGTAGGCTGACACCACAGTCGACCAGGACACCACATTCCTCCCCGGCATGCGCTGGAACAGCTCGAAGGCCTCATCCGCCTCCCCAGCTTTGGCATAGCCATCCAGCATCGTGTTCCAGCTCACCGTGTCCTTCTCGGGCATCTCGTCAAACATGCTCCTCGCAGCGTCCACCTCCCCTTGCCGCACCATTGCGGCCATGGCCGTGTTCCAGGACACAACGTCCCGTGTCGTCATTTCGTCGAACACCTTCCTCGCGTCCGAGAGCCCGTCGTTCCTGGACTACGCATCGATCAGCGCGTTTCCAACGAAGGTATCCTCGACGGACCCGAGCTTGACGACGTGCGCGTGCGCCGCGCGGACGGGCGTGAGGCCCGCAGTGGCTAGCGCCTTGATGAGGAAGGAGTAGGTGAACGCGTCCCGCTGCCGCAACGGCATGTCGACGAACACGGCGAGCGCGGCGTGGGGAAGGGAGTTGAGCGCGTAGGCGCGGAGGAGCGTGTTGGTGAGCAAGGCGGTGCTGGGGGCGAACGGGCTGCTCGGGAGCGCCGCGGCGGAGGAGAAGACGCAGCGGCAGGCGGGGACCCGGCGGAGGAGCGCGTAGGAGGAGATGAGCTTGGACGCGGCGTGCGGGTCCCGGTGGATCCCCTGCTTGAGGAGCAGCGCGTGGAGCTCCTGCACGTGGCGGAGGCGTGGGAGGCCGTGCGGGAGCGAGGCCAGGTGCTCCTCCACGAGCCGGCGGTGCGACGGCGCGCCGCCCCACTTCGGCGCGGGCCGCGCAGCGCAATGGATGCGGCAGCGGACATTCGATGCGTCGGCGTCGGTGCGCGCGACGCCTTAGTTAGTGGATGATCGCCGGAGAGGTGGGGGTTCTCGACCGGCGAGGAGAGGGTGGGGGAGGGAGCTCGGGCAAGGGGAGGCTTGGCGATGTGGTCTCTGGCTGACATGTGGAGCCGAGCCAAAACCTTGGACTAGAGGATAAAGTTGGACCGTGTGGTGAACTGGTGATGGGCATGCAGTGGACCATTATTTCCACGGGGCCCTATGGCCTACTTCTGGCCATGCTAAGCATTCTAATGGGTCTGAGTGCCCAGGAGGCCAGGATGGATAATGGGAGGGCCCAGGGATGACAATTCTGCTCGGGTGTATCGTATGTAACGACTCTGCTCGGGTGTATCGTATGTAACGGGTATGTTTCTCCAAAAAAAAAGAAAAACAAACGGGTATGGACGTGGAATCGTGGACATAGAATTTCATCCGAAGGTGTCGGTACGGATATAAGGTTCTAGCCGTGGGTGTGGGTATGTCGTTTCACCCGTGTGGATGGCAACAGAGTGGATTCGGATCGGGTGGAGTCTCCACGGACGAACTAAAACCCAAACTCAAAACCCAAAATCCGATGGTTCCATAGGAGAGGGCCTCGATCTTTACCACTGGAAGGGGAACCCAGAGGTGGTCAGGTGTGTTGTGTGCGGTGAGAGAACGATTGAGATAGGAGTCTGGACTCAGGAGGGGAACGAGTGTTGCTTTTTATTCGACATGTGACCCACCTTATAGATTACTTTGTGGTTTCACATTGTGAAGGTAAATCTATAGCGCTAATAAAGACCACTTGTGTTGTGTAGGACCCATATATATGGAATATTTCGTCCATATACATTACTTATGCCCTTACGGCTATCAAATAATGAACTCATTAGCCCAATACCATCTTGGATGAACACCCTACACTCCATGTTCTGTTGTACATATCAAACAATTAGCCTAAACCCAATAGCACTAACGGAGATGCCAATAATGCCGAAAGAGATAAACATATATCAATAATATAATATATTGCATGCCACACACAGACACAGGCCCTGCCTCGCAACTTTTGAACCTTAGCAGTAATTCGCTGACAAATTCAACTTGGACAGTTCTGAAGCTAGCTCTGAAAGTGTAGAAACGCGGTTTCAGTTTCATTATTCTGCATCGTTTGCTTTAGGCATATGGGCAAGAAGAAACACGATTATCGCACAGCACACCGCCTGCTGCGAGGGAGATGCCCAACAGTCATCCTGTGTGGGGGAGAGGGAGAGGCCTTCTGCATGGGACTTCCGGGCTGAGAGGCCAAGGTGAACTCGGGACTGCGTGGGCCGGAAAGCCAGGCCAGGACAAGCCATCCGGGGCGTCGGGGCCCAGAAGGAGGAAACTGGAAATATCAGTGAGTCGCCGGCCCAGTCCGGTGGCACAGGACCCGCGAGAGGACCCTCGGGGCGAGACCCTCCTCCTCGTCCCGGGTCCTCGCCGGACGGGATGGGGCGGGACAGCGACGCGGAAAGCGTGGTTTGTCGCGGCGCTGGACGTGCCGCCTCCCCCGCCGTGGACCGGCGGACGGGCGGGTCGGTCGACGACGAGAGCCGAGAGCGAGACCTCCCGCCCGCACTAGCCAAGGCCACGTCGACCAGGCAACGAACCAATTGGTTTTAATAATTAATTAACTAGAAAAGATCGCGGCGTTGCCGCGTATGGCCAGTGGACGTGCCCGTTGTACTATAGATGGTCCTGTTTTGTGTATGTATAAATAAACATGTGAAAACAGCAATTTTCTTACTTGATCAATGATCTAATATAAATATGGGACCATCATATACTCTGGGCTTAGTGAATGCAGGGGCATGACCGCATGATAAAACTATCCATATTAATTAAGTAAAAGAAGGTGGAATATGGTGTTTTTCTACTGCCATCTTAGGGTTAGAATTTTTTTTTTTGTCTTAAATGGACTTAGGCAGAGTGGAACAACAGTTTTATTGGTCTTGTCCTCTCTCCATGTCTTGTCCTCTCCATGGCTGACCAAACCAGATAAAGTTTTATTTACATATTAATACGAGTACATTTAACTCTTCGCAATTATATGAATATTGAAAATTACAATTGGCGGATATATTATTGCATACTAAATTTACTTGTGACGAAGCTATACTTTAGAACCCAATTGAGGAGCATAAGTCATGATTTACCTTCAAATTGTGCTACATGCTTATTTAAGCTTTTCTCTCCCAGTCTCCTCCCTTCATTTTTTTTTGTCACTTCCGGCTGAACATTTCAACATGGCTAAAACCTTTGAAATATGTGATGCTTGGTAAAAAAATTTGGCCACTTCGGCTCAATCACATTGATTGGCCTAGTTTGCAACGAAATAAGTTCAATTTTGAAACTGTTTTAAGTGTGCATGTTAGTAAAATAGAACACCAATATCTTCCCCCAAATTATTTCCAAATTATTTTGGTTGGCATTTGCTAATTTAAATTTGATGCCTAAATTAGCTAAAAGCTTATGAGCTTTGAACAATTAGATTTTTCACGGAGACCTCGTCCAAATTAGTTTTGTGGCCTACCTTAGAATTAAATAACTCGAGCTATATGGCGCGGCGTTGCCGCTCACATGCTTCAGGAGCCCAGTGTTTCATTTGTGGCTGTAATTTTTGGCCTAGCTCTATAGCTTCTCCTTTATTCTCAAGTGCTGAAATGCATAGCAATAACTGCTTTCATTGTAGTCGTTTATTGCAGATTCTTAATATTGTCGCAATATGTAGCGGCTCAGATTCTTAATAGGCATTGTATACACCAAAAGATACTTATATATAGGAGTTCAGATCGGAAGTGGTATGTAGCTTATACATTGATCACAGGGTTTACACATACAGCAAAAGTTCTAGCCTAGTTGTTCATGTTGATGAGCTCAGATCGGAAATGCGAACATAGCTGCTACATGTAAGACAGGGAGTATGTACAGAAAAATAGATTCATCTTAATAATCTCAGCAAGCTTGTATCATTCTCCCTCGCATTGAAGCAGCCCGAAGCACCTCCGTCAGCTACAGTGAATGGGCAAATCTTCTCATCTTGTCTATCAGGTATCAACCAAGACCACTGCCTCTTTTTTCTCTGGCCAGAATCCTCGCAGTAGCAAGGAAAATGCAGCAACTTGTTTGAGCACAAGCAGGATGAATATAGTCAGCAGAGCTGATGCATTTCTTCATTGCAGAACACAAAAATAGAGCCCGAGGTTGATGCTCCATAGCTTTTGGGTTGCTCACTTGATACATAAATCTATTGACTTGTCGACCAAAATTTCTCACATCACATAGACTCAAGTTCTTCATATGCTTCTTCACCCATTGCTTGATGACAGCCTAATAATGACGGCTTTGGGCCTGCAATAGAAAACACTTAATGTTCAGTGTACACATTACCTGAGGTCTGAGGAGGCATTTCTTTGATCAGCAGCTGATCATCGTCTTTTTGGGTGAGGTCAGTGGTGAAATTTTCTCGGATAGACGCGTATATCATTTTAAGAATCATATTAGAGGCAAACTTTAGGGCATACCAGTGCGCAGGTAAATAATATAATGAGCTGAGCATCGTATATTTTGGGTGAGCTCAGTGGTGAATTTTTATCTGATCTACAAGTATATCATTTAAAGAATCATATAAGAGGCAAACTTTAGGACATGCCAATGTGCAGTTAAATAATATAATGGTAAATCACAACAATGAATTATATGCCTCGATCTTATACGAGTAAGATTTTCTGAAACTAAGCATATGTCACAGATTAGATTATTAATACGTTGGTATAAAAGCCTAGGCCATGTATAAGTACGCCCAGTACTAAAATGCCTTCTATTATTTTTTTTGTGATGAGCAAGGTTATTTGAAGGGTGATGCATTAAAGTTTTAATTGCCTAAGAATGGAGAATGCCACGGAGGTAATGACTGCATGTATGATTGTGCTAAATCAATTGGAGAACCTATGTCAGAGTCCATGTGCTGCATGAGATGCAATCCATAAAGGTAAGCAACAATTTAACCGTAACCATCAGTTGGTTCGCCAATCAGCAAAACCAGGAGATCTATAAAAAGATTTCTCTTAGAAATTACCAACAGTTAAATCAACAGACAAATGTGTAATTATTGACTGAGATGGCATGATGTTTCGATAATTAGTTTCTTATGTAAATGCCTCAATTACAAATCTAATGGATTGTTCCTTCTTCAATGACCATTGGATTTTTGTTGTATATAGTTTTCTTCTACACAGCTTCTTTGGAGGTTTGCTTGGAGGAAGTCAATCTAATATGCTGGATTGGTATATAGCAGTTGGAAAGATTGTCAAATGTATTTTAGATGATATAAGTGTGCTGGTGACGGATTGAACCTGGATAAAGTACATATGTTGATCAGGGTAAAGCATCCATTACAATCTAGCGATAAATAGGAAATTGGAGGCCATGCCTTGGATATTTGAGCTAGCTCTGTACTATAGCACTATACACCTACTTTATTTTGTATCATGCAGAATCTAGAAGACCAGAAGAAATGGATGCTTGATCTAATCACTCACAAAAAAAGGTTGTTTGATCTCAATTTGGCGTACTTGTCCAGAATATCTGTTCAAATATACTATATTTCCAAGCTACAGAAAGTTGTTGTATGTAAAATCCTACCCAAATGCTTGTCCTGCGTTTCATCGAGCAGGTCGAGGGTGTCTAGATTCTAGAAACCAATTATTGGCTCAACATGGCACTCAAGATGAGATTATTGATTAGGGTGGCGTGATCAGCGCGCCGTCGCTCTCGCGCACGTCCAGCGGGCGCAGACCACGTTGCATGGACACCGACGCCGGCCGGAATCCGCCGGGCCACCCGTGGCCCCCATCCTGTCCATATCCCTCGCTGATGATTGTTCCCCCGGCTAGCAGCGGCTCGATTTCCTCTCCTCCCCCGGGCCCCGGCCCTTTCGCTGTCCGTCCCTCTCGTCTCTCTTCTCTCACCGTACCGGCGCAGGCAGGGTGGGGGTGAAACGGCGACGAGTGGCGCCGCGCCGACCGTCGCCTCACTCGGCTCCCTATTTAATTTGGTCAATCGACAATACGTACTACCTGTTCCTCTCCGTCAGATCGTCTCGAACGTGCAAGAAACCATTTTCTTTTTCCTCTGACCGGCCGCCTCTGCCTAGCTCTGCCGTGAATTGCCTCAGTCAGCAAGGCACGTCGGAGTTGCTCAGTTAATTAATCAAGGTGATGGAAGAGATTACAGAGAGCAGAATGCAACACGAGTGCATCAGGATATTTTGAGAGAGAAAAAAAAGAGATATAATGCTATTCATATATACTAGCAGTAGTATCTTTCCAATCTTTTGGCGCACATCGTCAAAACTGTATTGCTTACCGGCGAATTGGGGACTCTGCTCGGTCGTCAAGCCACCGCCGTGTTTTTCTTTTGGGTTTTATTTAGTCTTGGCCTGGGCCTGTTTTCTTCTCGCTGCACTTGTGTTACATTCTTTGCTTGCCTGCACGATTAATTGAAATAAAACTAGAGACAGACACATCTATATATCTCAGATATTTTGCTTACTTCTCTTTTCCTGATATTGCAAAAATAAAAATTTAATAAAAACTTTTTTTGTGTTTGAACGTCAAAGCTAGTAGGGGCTCTTTAGAATTCAGCCGCTGTGCTCTCGGGCCTCGGCCAATCTATTGGCACGCCAGAATACCAGTGACAAAACGTACGTCAGTTTCTCTCCAGATAAAACAAAACACCTTGCGTATGGTGGCCTCATGCATCCGGCCAAGTGAACACCGATTCTTCTAGGATGATCTTGTTGTGCATCTATCCCCTCATTATCTTTCAAGTTACCACCCATGGAATCAACAAAATCATTTCCCTCTTGAATGTGAAAATACTTCACCCATCCACTTCGAAAAGTCACTTGCCCTTAGGTTATTATCGTATCCTATACAAGAGCAACTACAATAATAGTCTTCACAATATATGTATCTTTGTTGATAACGGAGAAGAGAAGGGAAGGAGAAAGAGAGGAGAGCTTGACTCTTGTGCAACCGACAAGTTGGGCACGAGGGGTTATACAGTGATGGACCCAGATAGCAAGTGCGTGTGTGAGGACTAATAGGAAAAGACAATGTGAGACAAGTAAAAAGTAGTACCACATAATAATAATAATAATTAACTTTTTATAGACAAATAGAAGACAACTATTATATAATTTGGCTCTTACAAGTTAACTTATAGCCAAACACTTGGCTTTATTATTGGGCTTGTTATATGTCTAAGACCAAGTAAATCTTGTTATTCTCAAGTTACCCTCCCTTATATAATG